TTCAGTATATACACAGGTATATCGATTTTTGGCAGTGCTGCAGACAGCTCTAATTCAGTGCCCATGTTTGCAGCATTATTTGATTGGCATGATTCCTTTAGTGAATCAGGTGCTGAAACAACACAGATAGTGTGTGCAAAATAAACAGTGCACATACAAACAGAGTGTAGTTTGCATATATTGGTTGCATTCCTGAATCTTGCGTCTTTGTGGTGAGCTTTTATTGAAATGTGTTTGAGTTGCAGACAAAATCATGACTCTGAGATGCTGAAAGGAGCAGTCACCTCACAGAGAGAGTTTCAGTTCCACTGCGATTGTCTGAAGCTATTTGAGGGACTGTCAGGCACATTTTTAGGAGTCGCCTACATGTGAGAAAGAAGGAAATCTGCTAGAGAACAATCAGCCAGTTTGGCAGCTTTCTGTGCCAGCTGTAAGAAGACAGACTCGGTTCTGCCGTTACTGCTGAAGTCGATTATGCACAAACCGAAAACAAACCTTGATTCCATTCTGGATCTGGTTTAGTTAAAGCGGGCATAACACACACAGATTCACCCAATCTCATGTTAGTCTTGAGTGCCTATAGAGTAGTACTGCATCCTTCATATCTCCAAAAAGTCTTTAGTTTTATCATATTTATAAAAGAAAAATGCAGCTTTACGATTCTCTCCGGAAAAAAGCCGGGCTCCTGGAGGCGTGCTGTGGGCGGAGCTAAAGAGTGATGAGCACTTGGGTGCCGAATGCCAACAAAACTTACCGTCTGCAGTTCTGAATCATGGGATCTTTTATCACTGGGACCGCTCCATCTTTCAGTATCAAACGATGTGCAAATCCAGCATGGAACTGGGCCTTGTTTATAAAACGTTCGTCAACAAACACACTTGTGAAACTCTGTTGCTGCTCCGGAAAAACAAACTGTATCCACTGTTTACATAACGCTGGGTTCTTTAGGAAGCTGAACAAAGTTATCTTTCCCTTACAACCAAAAACACACTTCTTTGGATTGGAGATATTCTTCCCGAGCAAGTTGCGTGCAGCGCTGCCGCCGAATGAAGCGCGTTGATGGGCACGATCTCGCTCTCACTCTGGTCGAAAAAAATCATCAAAATCTCTTCTACACACAGAGGCCAGGGGTTTGAGGGGGAAAAAAAGAACCAGATCAGGTAGGATGGGAGGTGTGAACTGAAAATACATTTGACGGAGTTCCCTTTCAGTCGGTCACTGTCGACGTCACGTCGGAGGACCGACGAATTGGGATCTCGCTTAGAGGGACCAATCTACTTCGAGTGTAAACTAAACGAGCCAATGCACATTGGCATGCGATTATTGCATTCAGCTGCTGCTGATCACAGCGTGAGTATAAGTAGGCAGCAGATGCAGCGCATATTCAGGTTTTCGCTGAGGAGCCGAGCCGGTGACCCGACCGCTCAGCGGTGGTACAGGAGCTGTGGCGACGGGACATCTCCGTTCCCTCCTTCAGGGAAAGAGGGTTACATACGTAACCGAGACGTTCCCTTTCAGTCGGTCACTCTCGACGTCACGTGGAAGGACCGACGAATTGGGGTCCCGCTAAGCGAGATCCCAATTCGTCGGTCCTCCGACGTGACGTCTCCGTTCCCTCCTTCAGGGAACGAGGGTTACATACGTAACCGAGACGTTTCTTATCCATTATAAGATGTAGGTGAACAGCCAGCTGGTCTCTAAATGTAGGCCGTTTGTATGTGCTAAAGTGCATTTTAGTGATCATGCAAATATATATGCAGTTGTGCCATCCACATTTTGCAGTGCAGAAATGTAGCCACGGTGCAGCATTGCTCAGATGGTTCCTCACGCTCACTGTAGCTTTAATTCTTTAACCATATTGTTCACTTTAAAAGCTTTTCCAATCCAGGCTCTTCTGCAGCATCTGTGTTTATGACTGCAGGTCATGAGTCTAGAACTGATGGCCATCTCAATGAAGAAACAACCAGAAAGCTCAGTTTTCCTGCTTTTCCCAGAGAACATCATATTTTTCGTAATAACACATATATAACATAATATATATATAATATATAACACATATATATTTAAAGTAATTCAGCAAGGATGCGTTAAATTGATCAAAAGTAACAGTTTATAATGTTACAAAAAATTTCTGTTTCTAATAAATGCTGTTCCTTTGAAATTTCTATTCATCTTTTTTTCCACAAAAGAATAAGCATATCGAGCAATGGTTTTTAACATTGATAATAAAAGTGTTCAGTGTTTCTTGAGCAGCAAATCAGCATATTAGAACGATTTCTGAAGGATCATGTGACACTGAAGACTGGAGTAATGATGCTAAAAATGCAGCTTTAATATCACAGGAATACATTACATTTTAAAAGATATTAAATGACTGTTTTGGTGAGCATAAGTGACTTGTTCTGGTGTCCTTGTCATGCTTTTTAACCAGCTTAACCCACAAAACTTCCTTTATAAACCAGTGTTGGTTGAATACTTCCACTAGTTTTGCTGGTCAACAGCAAGGCTATTGAATGGCACACAGGCAGTATAAACCAGCTCGAATCATGAATTCGTGTCGGTCTAACCTGGTCTTTTCAACAGGGTTATGATGAAGATGGTTTTTTAAAAGTTGCATGAAGTTTGTGAGACAACCAACAGACCCAAAACGGTCCTTTAATACCACAATCACAGTCCAGATGAAATCAATAAAGAGGCACATTTACAAGAACGGGAAACTAAAGGGTGTTAGTGTGCAGGACATACAATACTTTGCAAAGACTCAAGTGACTAAGCATTGCAGGAAATGCAGAACAGGTGTGCATGTAACCATGATCCTTAGTGTGCTGAATGGAACTTTTGATGATGGAACTGGGAATCCTGGTGAATTTTAAATTTGAATCAAATGTGTGCATTATATTACAGATTGAGCGGCGCCTTGAAAATGTGCGACTGGTCTCTCATAATGCGCACAAGAGGATGGTCATGTGCCTGCAGGGTAACGTGGGCTCAGATGCGGAGAAGAGACATGTAAGTAACAGCTGCTTTTACATTTCCAAATCCCTCCGTAGTACACATTTCTGAATAGTTTTTTTTCCTCTTAGAAAAAGCTTCCTCTCACAGCCCTTTCACAATCCATGCTGGATGGAGGAAGTCAGCTCGGAGACGAGTCCTTCATCGGGTGAGTTTATGAACTCTTTGACTCTTTGACAGACATGTATCCTCCAAAACCATCCCATAATCTGGTCCATCTGACCTATGATTCATACCCATTATGAGAGAAATTTTGTGTCAAACAGAGAGGTGCTTTCAGGAACTATTTCTGTGGTCTCATTAGCCATGTGACCAAACATATCTGAATCATCTGTTATGTCAGGCAGTAAGTGTATTTACAGACCTGACCTGTGAAAATATAGAGTGGAAGCATCATTGTTACCCAACAACATGTATTAGTCCAGTGAAATTCATAATAGAGTGATGTAACATATTAAATTATTATTGTTCATGATGGAAAATGGGACCTCATGCTGCTTGATGATAATTGGTTGAATGATTAGCAAGAGTACATTGTTTTTTGGATTATGCTAGTTGTGTTTGATGTTATTTTATGGAATATAATACAACCAAGATATTTATTACCCATGTTTTAATTTATACAGCATCTTGTTTGACCAAAAATAAAAATGCAATGTTTTGTTGTCAATTTATTTTAAACGACTGATCAAATGATTTAAAGTCTTATGAATTCATTAAAAAAGTAAAATAGTTGAGTTGCACACAAAATAGTTTATAAAATATTTTATTTATTTGAACTATATTTTTGCATTGTGAAATATTATTAAATCATAAACACAGCATGTGGGAAATTTAAATGGAAAACACAGAGTATATTTTGCATTGTGAAAACACAGAATCCAGAAAAAACAAACAAACATGGAAAACGTCTCGGTTACGTATGTAACCCTCGTTCCCTGAAGGAGGGAACGGAGACGTCACGTCGGAGGACCGACGAAATTGGGATCTCGCTTAGAGGGACCAATCTACTTCGAGTGTAAACTAAACGAGCCAATGCACATTGGCATGCGATTATTGCATCCAGCTGCTGCTGATCACAGCGTGAGTATAAGTAGGCAGCAGGTGCAGCGCATATTCAGGTTTTCGCTGGGGAGCCGAGCCGGTGATCAGGGTTACCTGGGAACCTTGGGCCGGGGCCTCAGGGTTACCTGGGAATCAGCCGGCCCGAAC